CACCAGACAAATGCAATGCTGCAGCTTCCGTAAACACAGGGAAATTGTGAGGAAACCTTTCATCTAACTAAAGCCGCCCTATCACTGCACTGATAATGTTTATGGAAGTCGTCTTGTATAGGAAGCTGAAAGACATCACAAGGACATCACATCATGTAAACCTGTGCTGCTGGTGGGTCTATTTATGCAGCATGACAAAGAGTCTTGAAGAGGCGATACTGAATATGTTTATAGAAATACACCTCACCTTAGTACAAGAAAGAGAATTGTTGAAAAAAATGCCTCTAGCTCATATCTAAAAGATTTTGCCATGTAAACCATTCTTACATGTTTTTCTTTCAAACTTGTTCAAACAGAAAGGAACACACACAAAGTCTGTACAAACACTAGTGCCTCATCATAGCATCCCGCCACCAAAGATGACTGTAATGTGTGTTAATGTGTTGACAGGCTGACAAAGTCACTGGACAGTAAGTGAAAGGTAATCTGAAGCGAGTGGAGCGACACTGATAAGATTCCACCTCTCTCGCTGTCGCCACACTAAACATGCTTCCTTCACAGCCTTGGACCTCAGCCAATGGGGGCCAAGCACTCGGAAAGCCCCTGGTTTAGGTTAGAGCTGCAAAGTGCCAACAATGACTTACTCCCCCCCCCCCCGCTCCAAAAATACTCAAAATCAAGGGCTTTGGCTGAAGAAGCTTCAGACGGAGCCTGTCAAAATGATTCACTTCCCTGTCAGGCCCCGGCTCAAATGAAATAATGAAATCCACTTCAAGGTGGAACAAATTTGCACAGGAGGGGGGAATATTTTAAAGCCTGCTTTAGCTCACTGTGCCAAACAGATTGAGCCAGAGCAGAAATGTGAGAGGAAACTGGGGCGGAGACTGAAGAGCATAAATGTGTGTAAGGATGCAATGACAGGGAATTAATAGAAGAAGACAGGTTACATAACAGCCTCACTGCTATGAAATCTGAACAAGAGAAATGATTTCAAGTCACTCAATAAACCAATAAATAACTCAACATGTCATTTGGAAAATGCCTTCATGGTCCTCAGAGCAAATGTTCAGAAAACCAAAGCTACCCAGCCACCTTCTATGTTAGGACCACAACTCATAATAATAAAAGCACAACTTCATTTTTTTCCTGCTCAATCTTTATACAGTTCACCTGTTTAAAGACTCAAATGTGTTTGAAATATGTCGACTGCAAACATACGATGCATGAGCACAGTATTCATGTGCCTAATGTCCAAAAAAATACAAAATAAAGCTTTGTCAACAACCACCTGATTCAATCTGTATTCTTTAAGTACAGGTTCAATGCCTTATGCATTATTAATTTCACATCAAGCCCTCAATTGGCTCATTTGGATTTTATTTAAATCAATTAAGCATCTAAACGGATTGAGTCAACAGTTATAGAAACCCTACATCAACCTTTACAATGCTTAACTTTGTCTCCGTAAATAATCAGTGACAGGAGCTCCGTGTATTTATGCTTTTTTAACAGCCCTTTTTATGGACTCAGCAGGGATGTGAAAGGCACAGCTCGAAAAAGGACATCGGCATCAAACAGCTTCACATTAGAAGGTTCATATTCAACATGTAACATCTTACACAGCACTCGGCCTCAACCCCATCACTCGTTCTTTAAATAAAGCTCAGAGATGCCCAACACAAAAGAGAGCTGGTACCAAGAAGATTGAGGAGATTTGATAAGACAAAAAGACAAAAATCTAAGAATTCCCCGAAACACTATCTTCTCATGCAAGCTTATCACAAAATGCTTCCTTGTTAATGCCAGATTTCTACATTTTATTTTCATCTGTCAGAAACTAGGGAGGGATGAATTCTGCTCCGCCATCCTCCATCACAACATGTAGTATTTTTCAGTGACATTTTCTAACAGGCCTGTTATTCTCCTCTCTCCACGGCCTCAGGATTCCCTCCAATTGTTTCAACTGAATAAATGTGCATTAGCTGCAGCACCTGCTGTGCCTTGATCCGGATACAACAAGTAGAACACTGCATCGTGTTAGTAACGCCACCTTGACTTCAGACCATGCCAACATGCCTTGAAGTACAAAAGGCATCCTTCTTATCTGAGACACAAATTCAGTCCTGCTGTTCCAAATGTCAGCTGAACGCCCAAAATATCAAGGGTACTGTTTCCCTCTCATCCTCGGTGGCTTGGGGCTATGGTATTTTCCAACACCCCTGACAACTCCGAATCTTGGTTTGATAAGATAAGCTGAGGCGTAATGGAATTAAACTTGACAAGACCCTCGTTCACTGTGTTTGCCTTTGGTGTCTCCTTAACCTTTCAGCGAAGTGCCGAAACCTCCTGCCTGAGAAGAGCCTCCATGACTCCTGCATGCACTTTTAAAAGACTACGTCTCCCCCCTGAGGTGCTTGGATCCTTACACTTTTTCCACTCAAATACCTTTTTAATGGAGTTTAGAAGTTTGGTGTAAATGCCAAGTCTCCGAGCCAAAGTGCCTTTAATTGAGTTGTGCTTTCCTAATTTTCCCCGCCACCGTTGCCAATTGTGCAATTTACCAGCCGGGTCAATTACTCTTCATATTTTTGCAGTGTTTTTACCTAAATTGACTGCTGGCGATGCTGTGGTTTGACCTGAGCAGAATTGTTATGAAGACAGTATGCTGATTATGGGGTGCAATAACCAGCATAGCATAGCTTTAACACTCATGTTGGACAAAATCAAGAATCCGCTAGGAATCAAACTGATCTTATTTTGGGTGAAAGCACTAAAATAATTTCTGCAGCATTCAGGGAGGGGTACCGAAACATTTGCTAGGGAGAGCATATGCTGTAGTTTCTCAGTTAAAAATCCAAATTAATGCTTGATATTAAGATGACTTAGATGATCCGGGCCATGGCTCCAACCATGAAATTGATTCTGTACACAGCGGATAAGCTACAAGCACTTGCAAAAGACAACTGCAGGAGGCTTCAAATAATTTAAATGAATCTGCTCTATTCCTCTGTCTTTTGTATCAAATTGAAGCCTCTTGGCTAAAAGCACTGCATGGCCTTACCCAAGACAACACTGCCCCCTGCTGAATTTGTTATGAAATAGCACCCACAAGCCCGTAACAAAAAGCAATCATACAGCCTGCAATGAATAACGGTCTCATGGCGACTGTTAATTATTCCAGCCAAAGATAACGGTGGATGACTTCACTAAATACTCTGTCCTTTAAATTTCAAGTTCATCTACTCAGTGAAATCAATCAGGGTGTTCAATTATACATATTTGTGTACAACTTTGTGACATTTTCAGATTAAAAAATGTCCTAAAACAATCCTACCCTGGGATTCTTGTGAGACCTCTGGATTCCTCATTAAAGTGAGCCACATTTTGATTTCCCAAACATCAATCACTGCCATTTCATGTCTACCATACTATGAAAAAAATAATAAAAATGCTGACCAACGCTTTCAAAAAAAATCTGTTGTTTTGTTCATGTTTTGTGAAAGGATACTCTCTCTCTCCTGTGCTATGATCAGGTTCTGTTGCTCCAACTGCTGGATCTTGCGCTCAAAAGTTCCCTGTTCATCTTTCAGGCGCTGCACTGACACTTCTTTTTCCTCGCTCACTCTGAAAAATAAGTAATTACAGTTGTTAAAAGGACAAGTGATCTACATAATGAGTGACACGGTATTCAAAGCTACAGGAAGCACACATTTTTTTAATCATATGAATCATATATTTATATAACTTTAATACTATGTTCTCCCATAGCTTCAGTGTCATGTATTACCTAGCTAGTTCTTCAATGAGGTTTGCAATCCGACGCTTGTCTTCAGGGCAGAGGTCTTTCAAACATACCAGGCTCTTAGCTCTGTTACTCTCAGTCACCTGTTCAAAACAATGTTTGCAAAAATAACAAAATGTTCAATACTAAGATTCTTTCAGCTTCAATATTTATTTTCCTTATTTTAAAAATCAATACACTGTCTTCCTTATTCAGTGATTCAGGGAAGCAAAAACTGCTTACAGAAAACAATGTGTTACCTGTGTGGAGGACAGAAAGGTCCCGCTGGCTGAAGAGGGGATGTGTTCTGTAGCCAAAGCAACAGGGCAGCAGTCCTTGATATATACCCCAGAATGCTCACTCTGTAGGCGGCCTTGTTTCTTGGCACTTTTCTTTAGCGTGGTCCCATCCTTGCGGTCAGAGCTGTGCCTGGCTGGCATGTTGGAAACTTTTTTACTGGATGCACTGGTGGTGCCTGGCCCCACCCTGAAAGGAGTCTGAGTCTTCATCTTTCCATCCACACCTTAGACAACATTTAGGAAGACTTCACTAAATGCAATGTGTGCATGAGGTATACAGAGTTTAGAAGTTCTGCTAACATTCACTCACCAGGAACAAACACTAAAGGTGTGTCATCATCTGAGGCTGTGTGGAATAATGGAAGAGAAGCAGACACCGAAATTAACTTTTAAGTGTGTTAAAGCATTTCCTGTTTGTTAACACGATCACTATTTTGTATCTCAGACAGTTAGCTACCTCCAAGTAGCAATAAAAACAAAAACGTATGTCTTAATAATAGTAATACAAATGACCTTTGTGTTACGTTACGCGCCCTACACGTACATTTAAGTTACTTTGGTTAAACGAAGCTAACAACCCTAAAGCTAAGTTAGCTGCTTACTTTCAAGAAAATAAAAAAACTTTAAGCAGACACACTCTTTCAAATATTGTAGGTTCTTCGTGGAGCATGTCAAGGACGGTATAATGTAAGTACGCGTACCGCCGTTCATCCAAAATATCCCTGAGTTTCCACTTTCTGTTGTCGCTGCCGCCATGTTGAATCGACCGCCACCACTTCCAGGGAGCCAAGCGTTGCTAAGGAATCGTAGCCCCGCCCTTCGCTTGCATCGCAACAGCTTATTGGTTTTCATTTTTGAAAGACAGCTTGCTACTGGCGAAGAAAAAAACGACTCAAATGTGCCTTAAAGCTGCACATGTCGCTTCCTGTTTGTGTTGCCAGCTCCAAGCTGATAGGTTACGGTGTAGGTATCTGCAGAGGATGCTTCAAGGATTTTGCACACAGTTGTGATAAAACAATTTGAAAATGGAAGAGACAAAAGAAAGCGTGTCATTTAAAGGTGTTGCTGAAAGACTGACCATTGGTATTACTCGAATACTAGGTGTGTATCGTGTTTTTTTTGCTCTGAAACTAGCAAGTGGCGTTCAGGTTAGCTAGCAGGGATAGTAATGTCTTACTATGATATTAATACAATGTATGAATGTGTCCCTGTTATGACAGAAAATATGCCTGGTGTGGTGGATGTGCGTTTTGTAGAAAGAGAGCCAGCGGAGAAAAGGAGCCTGCTGTCTTGGGAACAGGTGGAAAAAATAACACAAAAATGAACACTAACAGATTGAAATGTGGTCATTTTATTTCTGTCAACTAACTCATCTTGCTGTGTTTCTTCCATAGAAAAATACGTGTATTTTGCCAGAGGACCTGCGAGATTTTTATCTGACGACTGATGGATTCACACTTACCTGGGGTGTTAAACTTGACAGTAGGTGACCACATCATTGTTATGTTATGCCTGTAATATTAGCAATAATAAAGCTTTTATATATACTAAAATAAAGGCTAGTCATTCAGTCATTCTTTGAAAACAAAAATTAACTAAGGAAGTCTTTTTGTGAAGAATTGTTTAACTCTTTGATAAGATCAGAATTGTGTTGGTTTGGTGTCTTTCAGATGAGTGCGTTTCCTTAGGATGCATGATGATAAACAGTGTGGCCAGACTGTGCCCACTTCTGCAGCCAGTATCATTATTCTCTCTCCCTAATGCACCCTCACTGGCTGACCTGGACTGGGAGGAGAACAGCACAGAAAGTGGTAACCATCACCTGTCAGATCCTCTTGTGGGCTTAAATCAACAATTACAGCATGTCAAGTTTGATTAAGTCTGTTGGTGTGCTCAGCTGTGCAGAAAGCAGGCTAATGAATGAAATGTTGATTGGAAAGTAAATGTTTATTCAAGACTCGTTAATGCTGTTTGCCAGGAAAGAGACATGCTTCTGCTGCACCCCATTTTGATTCACGGTGCCGGATCTTTGAGCTGGATTCTTGTGGTGGGAACGGAAAAGTGTGCCTAGTTTACAAAAACTGCACTTCAGGTCTTGTTTTTATTCACAAATTTCACATATCATAATGTATGTAAAACACAATGCAGAATTTTAAAAAAACAAGATATAAATAAATAAATAATTAAGATACAAATGTATCATAAATCAACCTAAAATATATTTTTATCATGTATTTATTTATTGTAAATTGCAGGTGTTGTGGCCCAGCAGAGCGAAATATGGTTTCTTGATCGCTCGCTGTGCTGGCATTTTCTGACAGCAACCTTCACCTCCTACTACCGGCTGATGATCACCCACCTTGGTCTGCCTGAGTGGCAGTATGCCTTCACCCCCTATGGCCCCAGCCCCCAGGCAAAGGTACAAATGGTGTAACACACTTGAAAAGACTACTTGCGGATGTTTAAATTGCATCTGCAAAAGTTTTATTTAGTTCATTACTTTAGGCTGAAATCTGTCATTGTCTCTACTCTCTTTACTTCACTAAATTCTGATTTGTCTTTTTCGCTACCTAACTATGTTAAGTTAAAAATACTTGCATACAATGTTTGCTTATACTCTGACAAGAGGACGCAATACGTTTTAAGACACTGACACAAATAATTAAACATTGTTGCCTCAGTATCTGAAACAGGACATTGACAGAAAAGTCGCTTTTATCTTCAATTGCTGTTACTTAAAAATAATTTAACTACTTCTTGTCAAATATTCCTAGGAAAGCATGTTCATGTGTCGAGAGAAAGTTAGTTCCTTTGATGAATCTTTCTCCTATTCCCTCGACAGCAGTGGGCATCTCTGTACCAACCACTGATTTTCAGCAGTGAGCTCAGCTTGGCCGATCCAGCTGGTGATTCCTATCTCAACAAGCTGGATCCAACAAAAGGCTTCAAAGGCAAAACAAAGGTGCCCGTCCCAAAGAAGAAGCAGACAGCACAGTGCAGCTTAGGGAGCACTGGTAAGAGCCAGGGCAGCACAGGAAGACACATTGGTGTAAAACGGTGAAAGCATTCCAACTCAGAAAGTATTTTGATCCACTTTACAGTCTGTTCATCCAAAACAACTTGGAGGAGGAATCCGCAATTCTGTCAGTAGTTGGACTCTGATCAATATGTGTGTCAGCAGCTTGATCTTCCATGAGAGCATACCATTAACGACTAAGGTTGGACTACTGCATGTCTGAATAGATGCATAAGAGGGAAGTTGGTGGTACCACCTTTTTGGAGGTTATGTGTTGGAGGTTTAATGAGTAAACTGTCCCTCCGATCTGGCTAAAGAGACAAGATGTTTAGGTTTGTCATACAATTCACATCACAAAGGCCATCATGATAATCCTGATGATCATATTTTACTCTACATTTCACTGCACAGTATAAGGGAGGAAGAAAAGAGAACTATAGATTACATTTTTCAAAGCCTAATTGAAAACAGTATATCACAAGTGGCATTCAGTGGTGAAAATAACTCCAAGGTAAACCAGCTCATAGAATATGTCTGTGTGCTGTAGACAAAGCACCAATAATACTGTCATACAAATTGTGCCGGTGCTGTAACCATGAGGACTCAACAGTACTCAATATAACACAGTATCAGTTTTCATCTATAGTTATTATCACTAGGCTTGATTGTAAATATATATACTGTACATTGAATGTATTATACAACAAAAATATAAGTAACATTACAAAGAATTGTTGTTGTTTTTTTTAAATCTCTTTATGTGAACAATTAAGGGAAATAAAGAAGTGCTCAGTACTATGACTCTGGTCAGTCAAAGGGCTTGTATGACCTGAAGCATTTATCTAAAACTTTAAAATAAAGGAAGCTGATTACATGATCCACAACATGTTTTTGAGTCCCTATTCTGAGTGTCTGTTGAAACTGCAACATGTGAGCTTTAGTTAAAATGTTTTTTCAAAGATTTGGGATTTTTTTTTTTTTTTAATCTCAAGTCTTTGAAAATTGAAAACTTCTACGTTCATCTTTGCATGCATTCTTAAAAAAAAAAAAAATTAAGCTAAATCGAAACAGTGATTTTTGTATGATGAGATCTGACTGCATTGCTGGTATGATATTCCATACATTCGACCAAATGTGAGGAGGTTATATTCCAGCTTTTTTTGAGACAGAACTTGTTAGCTGAGATACATATATGAGCAATGCTCTTTTTTTAATAACCCTGTAGCTCCTACAAAGTGAATCAAGAGCCTCCATTTACACTTGTTAGCTGCGTGCTGGATTCATGGAAAGATGAACGTGTTTATTATCTCTGGTTGTGCTGCTGCCCTTTCAAGCTATGAGGAGCTGACTCCATACTGTTCCTATTTAATTTACAAAAAGATACATTTTTATTTTTGGATTATTTTCTTTGAGGCGACTTCTTTTCCTCACATAAACTCCTAAAAAAAAAAGTTTGGAAACCTTATTTCTGTCAATTGTTTTGCCCCTTTAATAATACTAATTGGTGTTGTATTTTATATTGTTGGAAAGCCTGATTAGTCACCTTTATAACGAGGTATAACTTATAAGGATCATGCATTCGTGGAATGAGCAACACAGCTAAACTTTTGGGTAGCGCCCAAAAAAATGTGCCAAAATGTCCTGCAAAGTCTTCTGTTGGTATTCACTCCTGTTTTAAGTTGCTTGGTGGAATCGATGATTGCACTCTCCCGCAGTAATACGCTTTTTACACTTTATTCATTTGACACTGTCATGGACCTCAGTAGCGTGTGGATGAGCCATAAGCAGCCACAACAGCTTGGCACCTCCTCCTCACCAGCCTGGTCACATTTCGGAATGGGATGGCATCCCATTCCTCAACATGTCTCAAGTTTAGCTGTGTTGCTCTTTCCATGAATGCACGATCCTTACAAGTTGTACCTCGTTGTAAAGGTGACTAATCAGGCTTTCCAAGGATATAAAATACAACACAAATTAGTATTATTTAAGAGGCAAAGTGACCGAAATAACGTTTCCAAACTGTTTCAGAGGAGTTTAGTTTAGTGCTCTCCTGTTGATTGTTAAAAATAGAATGATATGTACAGTGTGCTTAAAGGTTATTTCTGGTCCTATTGCCTCAATATTAAAAAAAAAAAATATATATATATATATCAATGAGTGTTTTTTTCATCGTCTGACCCTAAAAATATTTTTCAACCTTTCGTTAGTCCTATATGTTGCAATACGAGCTGTAAATGTAGTATGTTTATGTTTTGTGTTGCAGTCACTCACAATCACATCCACTAGATTAGTAACTAAATAAGTAGATATTAATACAATTATTCACCTAAAGCGGACACATCATTTTAAAAAAAGTCCTTATTTTAGAAAGTCTCTTTTTGAGAAAGTCTCTCTGTTCTCCATTCAAGCTTTTTTTTAACTTTTGAAAAAAGTCTGTTTTTTAAAGATACATTTTTCATGGAATGATTCTACTGCATGCAGATAGCCACACAGCTTTACAAGAGCAACCCTGTGCGTTGTTTTAAGTGGGGTGAGGGGGTCTTAGACACATACATTTGCACAGTTGTTTTCCCGTTTCTCCAGAGCAACAGTCTCCTCCTCCAACAGCCCCTCACTCTGTTCAGAAAGGGGAGGGTGGAGCATCTCCACAAACGCCTTGTAGAGCCCTGCACCCAATATTCCTCCAATTGGGGGTGCAACAAGAGGCACCCACCACCAACCATTACCAGACCTGCACAGATAAAGACCGAAAAGTGTGAACTGTTAGATCAAAAAACAAAGCCAAATATAACATTTAATGTCAACCCAGTGCATTAGCCTCAATTCACCCCTAGTTTATTTCTCCTAAGACAACATCAAAGTCCTTCCACCCCACCCCCCTAAAACAATGAAACAACCCTCCTGCTTACCTGAACACATCTGCCCCCCAGCCTGCTATGGCGGTGAAGACCCTGGGTGCGATGTCTCTGGTGGGGTTGATAGCATATCCGCTATTGCTGCCCAGAGAAATGCCAATAAGCAGCACTAGGAGGCCCACTGCGACAGGCTCGCTTCCTGCTGCAGCTGGTTTGTTCTTCTGGTCGCCCAGCGCCATCAGACACAGCAGCAGTATAGCTGTGCCGAATACCTTGCACAAAACACAGCTCAAGGGTTACTGCAGCGTAATTCAGACGATAGTACTTTAGTAATCCTTCAGTCTGGTTTCATGGTTACCTGGTCAATAAATCCAGCCAACAAGGAGAGGTACGGTGCAGGATAGGTGGCGAAAATACCGGCTGTGGCCCTGGCACCAGTCACAGTCAGGTTCCCTCCACAGTAGTCAAAAATAGCTTCTATATGTGGAATAAAACATGAAAAATACAGAAACTATTTGGTTTATGACGAGCAATACAAATACAATAAAGCAAAAGTTCATGCTTGTGTTTCACTGCCTAGTGTGCTCTCACCATAATAGACACCATAAATTGTCCCTGCAGCCAAAAATGAACCCAATAGCTGTGCAAAAACATACAGAGGCAGCATCTTCCATGCAAGGCGACCAAACGCGCACATTGTGATGGACACTGCTGCATTCATATGAGCCCCTGATTGAGAAAGATTTTGGAATGAGATGTATATGTCAGATGGCAGGTAGCTGTATTGACTTCAATGGATTCTTGATGGTTGTGTTCACAAGGTCAAGCTGTACCTGAGACCTTCCCTCCAACATGAACCCCCATAGCAACACCCAGTCCAAACCCCAGGTTGATGCTGATGTACTGTCCAAACGCTCCCTGTCCTGTCACTACCTGGGCCACAGACCCCAGGCCAAAAACCTGGATGGAAAACAGCACAAGCAAGGTCACAGATAGTGATGAAATGAAAGAAAAATACAGTTCAAACTTCCGAACAGTCTCTTATAGGTTATCCAGTAAACAGGATGTGTAGCGGAAAATTAACAGATTGAGTTGTGCTGAATCAGAGAGTCAGTCTCAATACCAAGCTGTAATTTTGTGTTTTTTAGGAACATGAACTATGTTCCTGTGTCTGAAATCTTGTGCCTATGAAGCACACTGTCTCTTTTCAACCTTAACCCAATGACCTCAAATGACTGTGTCGGGGAAAAAACAGGTTCCCTATAAATCAAGCCATTCATTCAGGAAACAGGAAACATGAATTTCCTCCACCAAAAGATGATGTGTATTTAGGTCAAACGTAAGACAGCCTTCCCAAGTGAAAGCACTGCAAGTTTGAATAAAACATGTCTCTCTGTGTGTGTGTGTGTGTGTGTGTGTGTGTGTGTGTGTGTGTGTGTGGTCACATGCTAATCTACATGTCGTGTTCAGCATGTGCCCACATACCATGTATGCATGTTTGTGTGTATTCCTTCCAGGCTTCCTAGTCTAGGGTTTTGTTGTAACAGCTGATAGAACATGTGACTTTTGAAACCTTGTCCATGTGGCCCACTGCCTGACCATTCCTCTGGTAACACTACATTTCCTGGTTCACCCACTTGAACCAGCCAATCCCCACTCGGGACCCCTGACATGTGACTGTGAAAACACTTGTATTTGACAGAGGGGGCATGTTATAGGGGTCAAGATCATGGCATTAATAATTAATAGCATGTGGAAGTTACAGATAAGAGTGGCACAATGTTCACAAAAAAATATAACAGCTCATTTATGAAGTGAATTTGTCCTTAGTGAAACATAGTTGAACTATTTTAGTCAGTTTCACATCATCTACACATGACAAAGAGCCTTTTAGAAATCTGTTACTACAGACTTTTCTTACCATCATGACGTAAGTGCAAAGGGATTCAGCAAGTCCCACACGAACCACTTCATTCTGGAGCCAAGCTTTGGGTCGACTTACTTTAACTCCTTTCCGCTGAGAGACCCCAAGTTCTACTGACTGCACCAAGTCCTTCATTTCTCTTCTTTACCTCCTTCTGTTTCCTGATTGCACAAAACTACAAGTCAAGTCTGTGTTTCCTTAGATGACTTTATGTTCTTCCGCCCATGTCAACAGTAGTCCACAAACAAGTCTCTCTGTGACTATTAACCAAACTGTTCCTCCTCTCTTTCTCTCCTCTGCTCACTTTCTCTTTGTGTGTGTCTCTCTCTGTCACACTTACCCATTTAGATTTGTCTACCCTTGTAAGCCATGACCCCACCCCTCAAACGCACACACACAGCCTGACCCTCCCCCATATAGCTTTGTATCATCTGAGGTCCCTGACCACTATGAAAAAGGGTTTAAAAAAGAAGAAGGGAAAATAACTCCCTGTCCAACAGAAGTGCTACTACACTTCAGCTGGACATGATCAACTCCACTATTTCTCCTTTGTACACACACACACACACACACACACACACACAGGCAAATATAAATATACATCTGTCTATTTTTATATATATATATATATATATATATATATCATCTAGAGATTATTAAAAGCTATTTGTGTGTGCATTAGGTGTTGAGATACCAAATTTATTAACTTCTAAAATATTTTAGGTGAAATCAATCAATATCAATACTTTTCAATACCACAACAACACACAGACATCCAGTGATGCATGATTTTTTTTTTAAAAACCAAAAAATGCAGGCAAACTCCTTCAAACTGTCAAATTGCATAAATACATCAGACATTTTGGTACTACAATGTTGCAAACGTTTTTGTGCAATTTAGACCGTGCTAACTCCCTTGATCTGCATTTTTATTTGAACTTTGGTGCTTTTCAGTACTATCAATCATTCAAACAACGGATATCCTATTGAAACATGTGTTTTTGAAAAGTATTGCAGCATTCAAAATGACTGACTACCCTAATGTGTGTTACTTTTTATTTGCAAAACATTCAGATGCATGACATTTGATTTTTAGTTTGTGACATTCATTATTATCAATATTATTATGTTTCCTGCAGATTTAAGTTTTCACATTTATAATACACAAAACAAAACAAAACAAGTATGTAAGGAAAACAACAAATACCACAAATTGTTGATTAAATTAGGTTTCATTGAACACAATCAAATGTTTTTGGGCTTTAAAAGAGATCACAAATGTTTATCCCACCCCAACCTTGTTTTTCTTTTTTTTTCAGTCCACATAAATGGCTTATATAAACCGGCCTGTTACTTTATTTAGTACAAAAAGACTGTTCAAATATACACAAGGACTGTTAGGAAGTGGACACAGGAGAGCAACGAGGCACTGCAGGACTGCTTTGAGTCCACAGACTGGGATGTACTCTGCGAGCCACATGGAGAGGACATTAACAGCATGACTGACTGCATCACAGAATACATTAAATTCTGTGAAAACACTGCTTTACCGGCCAGGACTGTACACTGTTTTCCTAATAACAAACCCTGGATCACCAGTGACCTGAAAGCCCTTCTCAACAAAAGAAACAAGCCTTCAGGTCTGGAAACAGAGAGGAGCTGAAAAGGATACAGCACGGTCTGAGGGAAAAGCTGAGGGAGTGCAAGGACTCATACAGGAGAAAGCTGGAGGCCAAACTCCATCAGAACAACGTGAGGGATGTGTGGACTGGAATGAGGGAAATCACTGGTTTCAAAGGGAGAGAAAGACAACATTCTGGCAGCTTGGAGAGGGCGAATGAGCTAACCTGTTCTTCAACCAGTTTAGTTCACAGCCTTCAGCTGCTTCTCCCACCTCAAACAACAACAACAACACCCCTGTCCTTCACACCTCCCAGCCTCCCTTTGTATTTTCTCCCTCCCCCCCAACCCCCCATGGTGAACTCTTTGGACTCTGGCCCCGCACCACAGGAGTGAACTTCCCCCTCTGAGGTGAATTACTCCATCCCACCCCTGACTCTAACAACTGGCCAGGTGAAGAGACAGCTGGAGAAACTAAAAATTAGCAAGGCTCCAGGCCCTGGACGGCATCAGCCCAAGGGTTCTGAAGACCTGCGCCAGCCAGCTGTCTGAGACTCTGCAACACCTCTTCAACCTGAGTCTGAGCCAGGAGAGGATACCGGTGCTGTGGAAAACGTCCTGCTTGGTCCCGGTCCCAAAGAAGACGACACCATCTGATCTCAAGGACTATCGACCAGTTGCTCTCACATCTCATGTGATGAAAGTGTTGGAGAGGCTTGTCTTGACCCACCTCAGGCCGCAGGTGAAACCATCCCTTGACCCTCTACAATTTGCCTACTAGCCCACCTGAGAGTGGACGATGCCATCATCTACCTGCTGCAGCGTGCTCACTCACATCTGGAGGGAAACGGCTGCACTGTGAGAATCACCTTTTTTGATTCAACACCATCCAGCCACAACTGCTGGAAGAGAAGCTGCAGTTGATGGGTGTGGACTCGTCCATCATCTCCTGGATTACTGACTACCTGACAGACAGACCACAGTTTGTCCGACTTGGCAGTGTTCAGTCTGGAATGGTGGAGAGCAGTACAGGAGCTCCACAGGGGACTGTGCTGTCTGCTTTCCTTTTCACCTTGTACACCTCTGACTTTCAGTACAACTCCAGGTCATGCCACTTGCAGAAGTTTTCTGATGACTCTGCGGTGGTGGGGTGTATAAATGATGGGCAAGAGGGGAGTACAGAGAGCTGGTGGATAACTTTGTGGAGTGGACAGGAAGAAGTCACCTGATTCTGAACGTGGATAAGACCAGGGAGCTGGTGATTGACTTCAGAAGGAAGAGGACAGAGCCACCACCGCTGTGCATCCTGGGAGAGGACGTGTCTGTGGTGGAGGAGTACAAGTACCTGGGTGTCAACATAGTCAACACTCAGGCTGTGTACAAGAAGGGGATGAGCCGACTCTGTTTTCTGAGGAAGCTGAGATCCTTCAACGTGTGCAGCAAGGTGTTGGAGATCTTCTATTAGTCTGTTGTGGCCAGTGCACTGTTCTCTGCTGTGGTCTGCTGGGGGAGCAGCATTGGAGCTGGTGACACTAAGAGACTGGACAAGCTTATTAAGAAGGCCTGCTCTCTGATAGGCTGCAAGCTGGACTCTTTTGTAGTGGTGACAGAGAGGAGGACTCTTAACAAACTGTTATCCATTATGAATAATCCTGATCACCCTCTGAACACCCTCTGCACACCCTACTGGACAAACAGCGGAGCAGCTTCTCCAACAGACTGATCCAACTCTGCTGTCACAAGGACAGATACAGGACATCTTTCTTACCGAAGGCCATAACTCTGTACAACAGCTCACCTCATGCGAGCAGAGTACTGTCATCATGATAATATCTGTCTCTCCATACTGTAATCTGTTCTGCACATGTTAAATTTACAAATTATCCCTGCACTCATGTTCACTTCATTTGGCTGTCTACTCGCCGTTATATTGAATAGTTTCTGCTGTCTACACTCATGCACTTTAACTTATGTGTCACTGATTGCACAGCTCTGGACAGCTCCCTATGTCAATACTGTCCATTTACAACTCTGTTTTTGCACATTTACATTTAATCTTTCATATTTAAGACTAGTAATGCTAAGTTAAATCCTGGTTGTATATATTCACATTCTTAGTTTTGATATTTTTAGTGCTTATTTACTTTGTATTTAATATTATATTGTGTTTAGATTTGCTAATATTGTGTTTTTTTTCTCATATTGTGTGTTTGGACAACCTGCTGCTGTAACACCACAATTTCCCAGTTTGGGATCAATAAAGTAATTCTATCTATCTATCTATCTATCTATCTATCTATCTATCTATCTATCTGTCTGTCTGTCTAAAAGCCATTCTAGTGAGTGCAACTGAAATCTAAGAATAGGGATGTTTAGCTACACATACACTAGAATCAGATTCCAGTATTTAGGGTGCAACACCTATATTTTAGGCAAATCAAGCTATAGACATTTCAGACAGGCAGTTTTTGTCTGCTGTTGTAAGAATGCAATCATTAGGCTATCTTCCCAGGCAATTGTCTCCTTCCACCTGCATTGTCTCTTTCCTTTCTGATCGACAGTGATGGAACTGGGTAAAATAGATCACACCTGATTTCATTGATCATTGGGAAGGTCAGGTCCAAAAGACTTTTATCCCATAAAAGTTAGCTCATCAATGCTTTTTATTATCACATTGACCATTATATGGACACAATATAGCCTAACTTGTACAAAAAATCTCCATTTATGTAATTACAAGTCTCGAATACTTGAAGTGACTTGAGTTTCAGTGAAATTTAAGCCTTATTAAATTGTATTAATAGTATTGGTAGCTTTTGTTTCTTTTCAATTTTTGCAAGTTTATTTGTCCAAGACTTAAACGAACAACTGGAAAAAAAGAAAGAAGATTTAATAAGCATTATTTCCACTCAACACCTCTGCAATTCTAATGCAGGTGCTGCCCTCTTGTGGCTGAAAAGGTGCACATGATATTTTGGAGCAACGTATTTACACATATAAATATGAAATGAAGTTGATGTATGACATTGTTGTGTTATCAGATGTCTTTGTAGCCACAGTCCCAACTCAATAATTTGATGCAACTTCAAATATCACACAATGCCCATTATACACACCACAGCACTTTATCCACCACTGAGGTAAACAATATGGGCTGTGTGTGTCAGTACAAACTTTTAAAGATTAAAAGATAAGACTTTATAAGCCACCAGAAAATAACCCTGCATGTTAAGCCACTACTAAACAATTGAAACCAGTATAAGCTGTTTGGGTGTAGTTTGCATTCCCTCTGCTTCTGTCTCACTGATGACACCTTTGCACCTTTTTCACAATGGGCTGGACTTGTGCTGCTGACAATAAAATCTCAAGGTTTTCTTGGCCAGCCTCTGTCTAATGATCAGAGGTGTAAAGAGTACTAATATATTCTACTCAAGTAAAAGTACTGTTACTTTGATAAAATTTTACTTAAGTACAATACGATTTCAAATGTAGCTAATTACAATACTTAACAGAAAACCTACTTCAGTAAAAGTAAAAGTACAGATTTGAAAAACGACTTAAAAAGTAGTAAGTACAGCAAATAACTACTCAATTACAGTAACGCGAGTAAATGTAATTCGTTACTTTACACCTCTGTCTAATGATCAGAAACATTTCAACACTACAAAATATGTGAATAGAATGATTAACCAGCACTTATCCAGTGTGTTTGTCACTTCTGTGATGA